CGCCTTATCAGACACTAGACATACATAATGCTTCGCACAGCATTTTTCAATTTTTTACTCATGCCAAGAAAAAAAACATGTTCGTACGCGTTCTGAATGAATATATGTATGTATGTGTGTGCGTGAGTATATCAAAAATGATAATCATATCTACTTTGTCAAGAACAGTGACTGATATGTGAGGGCAATAATAATAATAAAACTAACAAATACGTGTTGCCAACCGACGGCGGATAAATTCATTCAATCGAATAGGTATGATAAAGATCTTATTTGTTGGTTTTTGTACTTAATCGTACGACAATATTTGAATTTGATAGACAAGAAAAAGATGACATTTTTCTGTATTTTATTTAGGTTAAAAGACACGAAGAATTCAAATTTTTTTTTGCACTTCAATACTTCGTTTTTTCTCTTACATTACATACATTTACTATTCTTTTTTCATCTCAATTGCTGTCCTACTTGTGTACACCATATATAATCACAAGAAGATTTGATGATCGATAAAATTATATTTTTGCTTCAACCGTACACGTACATTTTCAATTGAAACATGCCATCAGCATTGAGCTGTGTATAAGGAAGGAAAAGTTGATGAAAGACAAACATCATCATGTACATAAATACAGATACAATGAATTTCTATTTCACTATACTTCAAATTTTCAAGGGTTTCTTTTTTTTTTCATTCTCTTCAACATTTTCATTGTAACAAGACGTTCAGACCTTATAATAGAAGTCTTCAACATGTCATCTATCTAGTTTTTACCCTTATCTGATAAGCGTATGTTCGATAATATAAACATTCGTAACGTATATATCATTGACGTTTTATGCGTACATTACTAAAAAACCAAAAAAAGAACTTCCTAATGACACTAAGGCATCGAGTTGTTCATTAATTTATCCAAGCATTATCCGACAACAGCGATAAAGACATACGCGTTGTCCTTGAAAAACATACTAGTTCTCTGATTCATCAATTATGCGTACTAGCAGAACGATAATGTAGGAACGTGACATGGATACCAAATATAGAAAAGGAAAGATAAACTTATCAATAAAATACATCGAAGTCTAAACCAAGCAATGAACTACATGGATCACAAATGTTGTGTCTATGTGAAAAAAGATTGTAAATTTTTATAACACTTTTTTTGTATGAATGAAAAAAATCAATGAGAATAATTTAATGGCAAACTTCTATGTGTACCAAAGGTATTAAATGCACTTATAAAGAAATAAATAAGCCTCACATGACAAAAGGCATACAATAACAACATTAAAAATGTGATCTTACACACGATCAGTTGGTTAACTAACATGTGTAACAATAATTTTTGGTAAAGAACTTATATACGATCTCGTTATTTATTAGTTCTCAAAGAAAAACAATAATTTATAATTTAAAAAAAAATATCATTGCATAATAAAAAATTTGTATGGCTATATTTTTTTGTAATAAAAGTGATTCATGATATCATATGTCTATTTTATTCTATTAGTATTTCTGACGTCAACTTACATGTGAGTCGATTTAACCAATCGGAAAACTTTTCTTTTATGAAAAACAATCAAAAAAATATATTCTTTGGATGAAAAAGACGAACATTACCATATTTATTATTTCATAGATACAAAAACAAGAAGAATTATGATTAACATCTCAAAGATACAATAAAATAATTGGATGTGACAAAAAGAGATATTCTTTTATAGAATAAAAACGTTTCTAAATTCTTTCAAAAAAGAAAAAAGAAAAAGAATTAGATACATTATTGATAAATAAAGATATGAATGAGCTTTATCTTTTATTCTATAGATAATTAAAGTCGATTAAATGATGATTTAAATTCGTTTATTTAAACAAATAAATATATTACTATTATTAAATCATACATGAAAAGATAATCAATAAATGTTTCATTTATTTTTCTATGGATAGACAATTAATTCTTTCATCCCAATTGTACAACATAATATTAATTACTCTTCAATTCTCTAAGGGCAAATGTACTCTTTTTCTCTACAATTGCGTTATAAAGATAAAGCCAGTTAAAAGGTCTATGATACATCGTCAATAGAAATATTAACATTTTCTTATGTAATATGTTGCACAAAAAAGAAAAGAAATTTCATTAATAACAAAAGTGATTTCATAATTTTTTTCTATTTTAATCTAATAGGCATTCCTTAAAATTCTAATTAGAAATATTTTTATAAGATTGTCAATAGATGTCATACATCTATATAGAAAATAGGAAACCATTTTCCTTATTTTGATTATTGTTCGATCGTTAACAGTTAACCAATACGATTCTGAAGAAAGAGTCATAATTTATTTCTCAAACAACTAAACTTTGGTCTCTGTTTGATTTATTTTGTTTATTACTATTTTTTACGTATCATAAATTACTTTTTTTAAAATCTTTATCATGTCTGAAAGTCTAAGAATTCGTTGGACTAATCCTGCTTATCAAACTAAACTTATTAATCAATTAGAAGAACAATTTTCTAACATTACACGGTTATTATATACTACCAGTGTATCTAGTGTCGAACTTGATCGAAGAGTATTACCCTATATTGCTGATGATGTTATTTTTAAAGATCCTTGGCAAGAAGGTGGTAATAAACAATTCTATCGAATTGGTATGAAAGGTAATTGATTTGATATTTTTAAAATAAAAATTACATTGAATCTGATAGGCTTCCATAATATGTTTCATTTTACATTTGATACATTTCAATTAAATATTAAATTGAATGATGATAAAACTACAGGTCGCTGTATTGTTGATGGTATTATGAATTTAAAACAATTTTCTTGGATTTATACATATCCATTACGTTCAATTTTGGTTTATGAATTTCGTTTATTGAATAATGAAAATGATGATGAACCACAATTTGAAATCTTTCGACATGAAGAGATGTGGTTAGTATATTTTATCTTCAATTTTGGTATTCTTTTATAAATTTGATTTTTGATATGATTTTAGGTCATTTGCGGATATGATTGATGGAATGCCTGGTGTTGGATGGTTATATAAAAATGTTTTTCGTCGAGGATTTAGTTATTTTTTTGTTGGTCTTTCAGCGATGAGCTGTTTTTTTCATGATCATTTTATCCAAACAACCAAGAAGAAGGCATAATAGTGTAATTTTTTCAAGTATCCTGTGATGAATTACTTTTTTTTATTGTTATTTATATCTATTCGTACAAGTACTATTTGTGAATAATACTTTGTCTTTCAAAATAAAAAGACTAAACAACAATTTTATAATATTTTGATTGATAGACTTATTTTTATTTTCAGACAACTTTTTATCATATTATAAGAAATTCATTAAAAAACATTCAAAACATAAATTATAACACAAATAATTAACCATAAAGGTATCAAGAACAATGATCATTATCGCTGTCTGATCAACAAAATGATTAATTGATTTGTAAACGCATGACTTCTGTATACTAAAGAATGCCTTTCCTATAAATTATAAAATGCATGTTAATGCATTCGATGTTGGTCTTTTAAAATGTTATTAATCTGAATTAGTATCCATGATAATTATTCATCATTTACCATTTCTAAACATCCCATTATCATGCATTACATTGGCATAAATGACTGGTGCATGTTGTATTTTTTTCTAGATTATGTTCATTTATTTGTTTCAAACTATTTTTTTAAAACATGTAGAAATTCTATCCAGATTATACGAAACAAGAAAATATGATTAGAGCAAGTAAAAATACTGGTAATTTATCGGTTAAATTTTCGCTAAGAATCGTATACTAATAAACTTGACTTATTTTTATTGTTATACAATTTCAAGAATATAAAGTTCATTATTTTAGATCGTCTTCATGATTCCATTATTACGCCAAAGATGTCCATTATTTTTACGCTCAACAATTACACATATTCCGTCAACATCTGTTTATGTGAACAATTCTCCAAATAAAAGTTCATGTTCACTTCCTCGAACATTATTTAACATAATACCAAAACCATTACATCCCTATGTTCGTCTAAGTCGTATTGATAAACCAACTGGATCTTGGGTTATATTTTTACCTGGTGCATGGAGTATTGCATTGGCTGGTACAACATTAGCAAATCTTTCATTAATCGGCTTATTTGGTATTGGAACTATATTAATGCGTGGAGCTGGTTGTACAGTCAATGATTTATGGGATAGAGAATATGATCGTCGTGTTGAACGAACAAAATCAAGACCAATTGCAAGTGGAGAAATAACAATGCGACAAGGAATTATATGGGCAGGTGTTCAATTATCATTAGGTTTTTTAATACTTATTCAATTAAATTTACCAACAATTGGCATTGGTGTTTGTTCATTAGTACCTCTTATTATTTATCCAGTCATGAAACGATATACAAATTGGCCACAATTTTTTCTTGGTATAACACTCAATTGGTTAGTAAACTATTTTTACTAATTTGACAAAAAAACATTTTTTGATTTATTTTTGAAAAAAAAATTAGGAGTGCATTAATGGGTTTTACAGCAGCAGCAGGTACTGTTTATCCATCAGTTATAATACCATTATACTTTGCTGGTATTGCTTGGACACTTCATTATGATACAATTTATGCTCATCAAGATAAGCAAGATGATATACTTGTCGGTGTTAAATCAACAGCTCTTCTTCTTGGAGAAGATACAAAATTATGGTTACGAGCTTTCTCTATTGGTATGATTACACATTTAATTACAGCTGGTCTAAGTGTTGATCAAACATGGCCTTATTATCTTGGTTTAATTGGAGTTGGATATCATCTTCATCGGCAAATAGAAACAGTTAATTTGAACAATAATCAATCATGTTGGAATACATTTGCATCAAATCGTATAACAGGATTGATGATACTTGGTTGTATTTTAGTCGGGAATGTTTTTAAATAACTTTTATTAGTCATATAAATTTATGCATATATGTGTAAGATTAGATTGTTGTTTTTTAGATGAATTCTTTATTGTTAAAAACGACTGTTCGATTGTCACGAGTCAACTTATTTTCGATTCCTCAGCGGTAATATATCGATTAGTTTCGCTTTGTTTTTTTATTGAATTATATTTATATATAGAACATTATTTGATATACAAAATGTATGGGGTCGTACGGCTGTTGATACTCAAAAACCAATTGATTCGAGTCCTCTAGCAGAAATTCCGATACAAGATGTTTGTAGATTTAAGTTTTTTTTTTCTTTTTGTATATTTGATTTTTGTTTTGTAAAGGAATCTGTTGGCCCTTTATCCGGTGTACCTAGAGATATGTTTAAAGAACGACGTTGTCGAATATTTGTATCTGCTCGTAATGCAATGCAATCAGGAACAAATAATCAGAAAAAATGGAAAGTTGAATGGGACACAAAAGAACGTTGGGAAAATCCATTAATGGGTTGGGCATCATCGTTAGTATTCTTATTGATAAAGAAGAATATTTTTTTTTATTTTGAATATGACTATCTTTCTTTTCATTTTTTTGTAGGAGTGATCCTCATTCATCAGTTATAGTTGAATTTGGTAGTAAAGAAGATGCAATCATCTATTGTGAACGAATGGGTTCGTATAATATCTTTGCTTTTTTTTAGCCTTTGTTTTTAACAATTAATGTAATAATTCTAGGTTATAAATATGAAGTTGCCGAACCACCATCAACACCTCGTTTTAAAAAGAGTTATGGAGCAAATTTTTCTTGGAACAAAAAAACTCGTGTTTCTACCAAATAGAAATTCATATCATGACTTCTTGTTTTCTTTCCTTTACTTCGATTGTAAAAAATAGATTATTTATCCTTTCACGTTCCCTACAAACAATATATATCCATTGTTCATATGAATTCATGATATTATCATCGATTTTGAAAATGTCTTTTGAAGTTTTGTTAAATATAAGAAGACAAAAGAAAAAAGATTTAACTTTAAATATAGAAAGATGCACGAAACAAAAGATGACTATAAGGTTTTGACTATAGAATGGTACATTTGTAGACTTCTAGAGAAAGTCTTTCTCCAGAAACCTACATAGATTTCTTTGTGTAGTCAAAACTTCATTGAAAAACTTATAGTTGCTTTTGCATGAATACCTAAGTTGAAAACAATTGATTTTTATAGCAAATTTCAACTTATTTTTTATTATAGAATATGAAAAATAAACTGTAGTTTTGTTATGTTATAAACGTATTTTGTATTTTAATTCATATGAAATAAACAGAATTTCATTTGAACTCAATTAGAAGTATTTGTACAACTAAAATGAAAAAGAAATTCGATTCAAAAAAGTTAACAATGATTTAATCATATCAAGTCAAAAGTGTATTCCATGTTTATCCAATACTTTTAATTTGCAATGCAAAAGCAATTGTTGAAATATCAACTCATGACTTTCTGTTCAGAAACATCGTAGAGAGTTCAATCTTTTTCATGTTGAAAGAGCAAAGTCTGAGCTTCAAAAATCATAAGAAAAATTTTGGGAGATTAACTTTGAATGAGAAAAAGTTCTTGCAATTTTTGTCCTCTTCAAATGTATCTCTTGTCAGAGATAGAATTGATAGACTGGTCATTATCGGTGTGTTTTATTTATGTTTTTTTTTATTTTACTATCTCATAAAGGATATGTATTGGAATTTTGTGGAAGTTGACTACGTCAAATATTACTATCCGCAGATGCAATAGTACGAAAACTTGTCAGTTCAGTGTCGGTATGAATTTCAGACTGGTCGGTTTTATCTCTACCTCTCGTATCAAATTTTGTTTGTTTCCCTATAACTAGAGATCAGCGGGGTCAAACTTTTTAGCCCCGACACCCGCCCGAAACCCGAAAATATTTTTTATTTCTCCCCGGTTCCGACTCCGACCCCGAAGAGCCCCGATTTTTTCTCACAAATAGCTGACATCTAATATGCGCGACATTTTGTTGACGAAGAAATTTAGACAAGTTTTGATTGCTAGACAGTTTAACGTAATCAATTGTGAAAAAAACAAGGTATTCTCTTCTGTCCTTTCTCTCGTTCCCTTCTCTTCGTTTGTGTATAAAACGAAAAGATGATTTTAAAGTTGTTAACACGAAAAGAACTCGAGGATGCCTATAAAGAAAACGAGATGATTCTGTTAAATATGTGGATGCGGGTGATGATAGGTGAGGGTGTGGGCGTGAGTGGAGTATGGCTANATATATGAATTCGATAATCATAGTATCATATCATTTTCATTTTCTCGCATTCCATATTATATATAGGTTTTAGATTTGTATTCTCACTGTTCTCTCTTTATTAATCATCCTCTGAAACTTCTGTTTTTCATTTGATCTACTAATAATAGACATTTGATATAGGGATGCAACAGTGATACTAACCGTGAAGCCGATCAGCACATGAAGAACATATGACGATGAAAGGTATATTAATATTGTTATCATAATAGTGATGCTTGATGAAGTACATTTCTTATTGAATAGTGATTTCCAATAAAACACTGGCAATCTCACGTTAGTAATCACAAGTACAGTTGAATTGAGACTGTCTGAGAAATCTTGAATGTTTAGAGACACAAGCAAAATCATTATTGAAAAACTTACAGACATTTGCAGACGTTCATCTATTGTCTATGAGTGTAGCAAATACGAAAGCAAATGATCACTCATAGTGCAGTGAAGATCTTGAATTCAACAATCATATATATGAAACCTTTTTTATTCTTAGATGTAGAGATTGGAACTATATTAGACTGTAAAAGCATCATAAATAATTGTCTGAAGATAATTAGATATATCAACAGAGAACTAAGAAAAATTATTTCACACAAGTGTAACAACAGAAATGAAAATTAGTCATAAACTCTCCTCTGTATTTGCATTACTCTACTTCAACTGGTCGTTCATCACTTGGTTCTTCTATAAGAAAAAGCAGCGAACAGCCATTGAGCATGTTTATTTAGTTTACCATCTTCTCAGAGGAACGATCGTACTAATCTGGCATCTACCAGGAAAGTCTCTTTATTTTGATTATATTCTAAAATACTGGATACGATTTTATGAAGCATTTAGAAGAATCTCCTGAAGGAGCCAATTTCCAAAAAACGATGTCTTTTGTATTGTCATTTCTCACACAAAAATTAACATGAAAGCTTTGATTTTAGAAGAAATTCAAAGTTCCCTAATAGACTAACTGAAAGGGCGCAAAGTACGAAGTTGGATTACATAAACTTTAGCCATGTATAAAAACAGTAATGTTAAATTTTCAAAAAACCTTCTCATATTTGTGAATAGACCGTTCGTAAATACTTCCCACATCCACTTTGAATTGTATAGATGATAAAATCAATGAAACTGAACAAACAAACAAAAAAATACACATATATAAGAGAGAATTACAGTTTTAGTCGACCTGCACACAATTGTTCATCCCACTATTCCTATCTTTTTTCATTCTCTGTCCGATGCTTCATCATATTTATTTTTGATTTCTAATTTTCTTCAAGTTGTCAAAAAAAAACAATCCTTTTCTATAGGAATCTAGATTTTTTCAGTACAAACAAAAAGAAATATTTCTCTCTAAACTTGATCATCATCGAATTATGTACGTAACTGTTAATTGAGAATCAGATCAATTTTGTCAACAACATATTCGTAGAAGAGTTCTAATAATTTTACAAATAACAAAAAAAGTATTCTTTTCAGTCAAGATAAAGTTACAACTTGATCATTAGAATTCTCAGAACTCAAGAGAAATGTTAAGATTAATTGATCATCTAAAATAGTTTTCTATTATTATAGGTTTTTATGCAGCTCATCATCTGCTTCGCTTCGTGCGTTAAGTAGCCGTCGAGTCGCTCATCGTACTATTCCTCTCACCGTTCTACTCATTGGTCTTGCATATGTTCATGTACCGTGTTTTTTTCGAATTAATATCCAGCAACAAACATGTGTTCCGATGCCAGGCATATATCAACAATTTTTTGGTGCGTGGCATCTTGTTGCATTCAGTTTAGTTCCACCAATGCTCATGCTTGTTTTTGGATTGTGTACTGTTCGAAGTATTCGTCAATCGATTATGCGCGTTGGATTAAACAATACTCAGACCCAAACTTCACATCGGCAATCTCGAAAATCAATAGATCGACAAATGATGCAAATGATGCTCGTTCAATGTATCGTATTTATTTTTACAGGATCTCTTCCTTCAGTAAATTTTCTCTATACATCGATCAGATCGAATATCCCAGTAGATGCTCTACAGGCAGCTAAAGACAACTTATTATACAACATTACTGGCTTTGTATCTCTTACAGTTCCATGTCTGAGTTTTTATTTATTCACATTATCAAGTAAATTATTTCGTAAGGAACTCATAAAAGTGTTTCGTGGTCAATGGCAATCTATACACGCAGCTACTAGTGCCATCTCTCAATCACGAAGACACTAATATTTCACTCTTCAATGTAAAGTTTTGTATCAATAATTAAACAAATAGTGATACGAAACCTCAAACTTTTTCTTGTATACCTGTCAAAGGAGATATTCGTATGTGTGTTATATAAGTTGTTTGTATGTGGTTTAGTGGTTCTCCGTACTATTTTGCTTCTAAGTGTTGTTGTAAAGCTACAGTGTATACTCGTATTGCCTAATAAATATTGTATTGTACATAAAAATCATGAAAAAGACATCGATTAACATAACTATAGTATCTCAAATAGTCACAATTACAACCAATAAAAGAGCGATCACACTCTGTATTGAACAGATAAAAAGTTCGGTGTGATTTAGTGCAAAACTTAATAAAAACAAACCAACCGAAATCAGCATGCTAAAATTAAAAAAAGACAAATTCAGAACAGACACATATTGAGTGTATTTCTGGTCTATATGAATAAGGACTATCGCTTTGTTTTGATTATTGATCCACGATTTTCTTTTTTATCACGTTATGAATAGTAAACTTGTCAGATGAAAAGTTTTTCATGAAGATTTATGATAATAATTGCAATCTGTAAGACAAGAACTACAAAAAAAATATTAGCAGTCAACTCGAATGAAGTGGTCCTGATTACATCTTCCTACTCTTGTGGGTACTACTTCAATTGACACCTGATGTTTGAACTCATTTCATGCCCAGAAGGAAGTTTCGGTAAGACTAGCAAACGCCTTAAACGATTCATCCCCAATGGAGACTTTAATACCAAGTTATAGACGATTTACTGATGTTCCTTCGTCGAGATATTAAATTTTGAAGTGAACTCATGTTTTGTGACATGCCTGCGAGAAAACGCTGTTTTTTGCAATTCAATATCCTGACAAAGGAAAAATTGACAGAATTCAAAAACTATTAGAAGCAATTGCAACGATTGATATTGTAGAAGATAACAAAATATTCACAGTTATACATCTGATTAACCCTTTGAGAACCTACTTTCTTTTAACACATGAAACGAAGTTATAGCGTCAGAATCAGTTATAGCCTGAAAAGTATCAACTCTTATAGTTATAATACTTGCTCTTACTGCACCCACACAAATAGAGAATTTTGAAATAGAAAAAGAAACAAAACACTCGAAGAATCTACTCTAACAAATTCAAAGACCTGAAATTTCTGCTGGAATTTTCAAACCGTATATATACGGCCTTGGTTCCCAAAGA